GGATACGTTAACAAGCAGGATCTTCAGAAGGAAGTGAAAGTAGTTGATACATATGGGCTCTCTCTTTTGGTTTCAATCAACTTTATATTAGCTGGTAAACTATTCTCTTGATGAAAATTTGATTTTCGTCGCTGATCCCTTCCTTTAAAATAGAACCGCTGTGCCTGTTTGATATAATGTGAATTAGCCTTAATGTAGATGTCAGATATGTCAACGGCTGTAGACGGATTTCCTAACCTAACATAACGACCACGCAACTATTCCAAGTATCAAATATTATTCATAAGTGTCTATCTAACATCCCACACGTTGAACAGTATCTATTTAGCGGTAAGGATCAATTCACTTGTCCCTCAAGTAAAAGTGAACTTATTTCAGTCATCATATTTGAACAACGCATATACTCGTATGTTTCATTGTCTTCACCTTCAGTTGATATAATGAATTATTGATCGACTTACAGACAGCTTTATGGCAGGAACGTAATAGAGCTCTGTTGATATTATTTTTATTTTGCTCATTCATATTCAGCAGATCATCGAGGGCACAATTAGAAAGTGATTTTCTACCGTAACAATACAAAGTGGATGCGATTGGTATCTCTACGTTCTTCATTGTCAAGTGATTCGAATAACTCTCATGTTCATTTTTGAAGCGGACAGGAAAAGATTAAGTGGGGCAGGGTCTTTCATTGTCTAAACATCTAGAGGTACGGCGGGAGCAATAAATACATATAAATGAAAGGTGGGAAAACAAAATTGTAATACTATTTTTGAAAAATTGTCATACGAGAAACATCTATAAAAAAGTTTTTTATCTGAAACCACAATATTTCGATAAACAGTGCTAGGAAATTTTGTTTGCTCTGAATAGTTTTTTATTCGAAAGATCAACAGTAGATCAATTTCGGCAAATCCTGAAATCTGATGATACCCATAAAGTTAACTTCCCAGGAATATACTGCAATGGTTGGCAAGAATTGTAGCATTCAGTACATTTGACTACGAAGGTAGTGTATTCCTAATCACACCAATTATTACAGATTAGAACAGTAAATAGAACATAGATAAGTCATAAAAGCTACAGCTTCTTTAAAATTCAATTACCCCTATTGTAGTATACATGGTATATCTTGACGAGTTAACGCAATCTATTTATAGAAAACTGAGAGTGGGGCGATTCTGAAAATTGGTAGGATGGGTGAAGAACTAATAAAGAATTCAACTGAAATATTATCGTTGAGGTGACGTTTCGGGTTTCACCGGAAGAGACCTCATCTTTGTTATTTTTAATAGCACACACTGTATTTCACCTCATTTCTGAATTCTTCCCATGATTTAGATTCTAACTCATACATCATACCCTATATCCAAAATTAACCGTTTTTGAGTTATTCGCGTTTTTTAGAAAAAGTGACAGATGCAGCCTTTCGAATATACGTCATTTTTATGTAAATTAACATGTGAATCGCCATAATTGAAGGTTGAACGGATTACGTATCATTTTCACGTCCACTGAATAATCCACAGGATGCGCAAAAACTAGGGTCCAATAAGTAAATGAGAAAAATTGAAAATCAACTTTTTCAAATGGGAACCCAATTTTTTTCCTCAAGGTTCAACTCAATTGTGAAAATAAGCGAATAGAACTGGCCGATACTTGATGAAAATCCATATTTAAAAAACTAATCAATAGAGTTTATTCTATGATTTAGATTAATCTTCAATCTTACGAACTTTGGATCATTCGAAAGGAAAATTATCAAAACTAAAACGGTGGTTGACAATGAAGATAATGCGATTACAGTGCTTGTGTACTTCACTGCTTTTTCAGGAGCATCTTTGAAAGATGCGGCACGAGATTTGGGATTGAATAAAATGTCCATGCAGAGAATATTAGCAAAACATAAATGGCATACTTTACGGAGTTCTTCATTATGAAAAATCAAGAAAACGACCAATTTTTGAGGAATATTGTATGGAGCGACGAAGCGAAATTTACCAAAAATGGGATATTCAACAAGTGGAATTCTCACTACTGAAGCTCACCAGCTGAAGCTGACCAACTTAGACATCAATGGTGAAATTACTATTTTTGCAGATGATACATCGATTCTATGGCACAACAAAAGCTCTTCAGAGCTTAACTACCACATAAGCATAGATATAGAAAAAGTTAAGAACTCGTGTGATTCCAATCTTCTAGCTTTCAATATAAGCAAAACAAATATCATAACATTCAAGGGCGACTTAGATGATGTTTATTTGGACAAGGAACAAATCTCCATTTCTACGGATAATGGATAATAAATTTCTGCGACTTCTGATTGATAATAAATTGAAGTTTGGTAACCATATCACAAAACTATGCAATCGATTAGCTTCTGGTTGCTTTGCGGTTCGTGCTAATGCTTTGCTAATGAGTTGAATTTGGGTATAGCGAAGAACGTATACTACGCACTAATAGAATCTCATCTTCGTTATGGAATCTGCTTCTGGGGCGCTTGTGCTCAGTATTTATTTCAAAGAGTATCTCTCCAAAAAAGGGCAATTAGATACCTATGTAGTTCTGATTACCGTGAATCCTGCCGTCCCTTGTTTATGCAACATGGAGTTCTGACATTTGTTTGTATCTACATTTTGCAAATGACTTGCCTCATACACAAGAAATACCAAGCTATAATTACTTCTGAGTCAACCTATAACACTCGCTCCTCTCACTTGATCTCGCTTCCAATTCCCTCCTCAACCTTAACTCGCAACTCTCTAATTTTTAGGGCAAGAAAATTTTCAATCACCTTCCCCTAACCTTGCGTGTCATCAAAAGCGAAGTCAAGTTC